TCTACTTTCTATATAGGTAGTTAATGCTTTTCAAAATAACTTTTATCTGATTAAAAAGGAGCACTTGTCCATTATAAAAATTTTGAAAAATTCAGAAATAGCTGATGAAGATAATTTCATTACCCTGATATTATTAAAAGCTTATTAGCACTTACTAACAGTTGAGCATTTTCCCTTTCAGTTCTTTCTCTACATATGAATGAGTTGAGAATATACTGCACATAGCATTTTATGTTCTGATTTTGAGAGAACATATGCATATGCATTTTTCCTGTTATAAAACATTTTTCATTGAGCATGCTTTTTAATGGCTGAATAATATTCCATGATTTGAATTTACATACATTTTCTTGTTTCCTTCCTCTTTGCCTTATTTCTATTTCCCCCATTATTAAAGCATCAAGCAATAGTTTTTTGCATAAATATTTGACATTATTCCATATTATTTCCTTAGAATATATTTCTAAAAAATGCTTTTGCTGAACAAGAGGCTATGAACCTTTTAAGTCTTTTCATATATCTTGCTTAAAACATAAGCAAAACAGAACTGTTAGGGGTGAATCAGATATAAAATCACTCTAAAACACAGATGTAAACTAATTGGCTCCTCCTAGCTCCATAAACGTGTTTTTCTTTCTAAATCCTTTTTCTAATAGTCTGAGAGAAAATCTGTTCTTCTCTGGAAAATATGTAAGGTGATTCTTGGACAGCAGCATAATAATCCTTACAGATTGTTCAATTGGGGTAGCTATTAATGCCTTGTGCAGAATAAACCAAACATCCAAAGAAACACATTTTTGCAGGTGAAAATTATGTGAGCCAACATTATTTCTCTCTCTGGTTTATGATGTCAGGGATCCAATTTCTCCATTATTAATGTATATATGCACATGGGGATAGAGTCTCTTGGAAGGAGATTAAAAAGATAACACTGCCTAAAATCCTCCTTCCTAATAATTCCAGGCCATTCAGAAGCTGTGAGGGGCCTGGGTACAGTGGCTCACTACACAGACAACACCCTGCAGAGGACTAGCTTTCTTCCTATTAACAGGCTTCACTGTGGAGAGTTCTGGGGTCACTGACACCCAGAAGAGAAACTCCCACTTCAGTAAAGTGTGCTGTGTGTATATTCAGCACTGCCTACCTAGAGAGCCTCGGAAACCACTCTTTGGTAACTGAATACATTTCTCATTTTCCATCACTTTTCCCTCTACTATGCCATTTTCTTAATACCATATTCAAACTTTCCAAAAGAAAACATAATCTCTGGATAATCCTTTCAAGAATTCTTAGAAGGAAATCTTTACTCCTTTGTCATTCCTATGGGAAACCTAACTCATGGTTACTCTTAGGATGCAAAGTGTTTTCATCACCCTCAAGTAAGGTGAGGGTGGGGGGATATGTAAGCAAAAAGGCCTTTAGCTTCAGGAACTTGCACTCTAAAGCTAGGGATACTCCAGAGATAAGCCACCAGCGTTTCACATTCCAAAATAGAAAACATGGGAAAGTTGCTTTTAATTCATTGTAAAAGGGTTGGGTTGAGAGATCTTTTCATTACTCCCCAGTAAATATAGGCTGCTTTGCCATTATTAGTGCAGAAAGGAAAAGCTTTAAGGTAGAAGGCTTAAGAAAAGAAATGGAAGGATGGCTAAAGGAGGAGAGGAGCCTCTGAATATTTTAAAAATCCACATGATGTTTACATTTCGGTAATGGGGAGGATGAGGTGTGAGGAAGGGCTTTTCTAGCTGGGACTCAGGATTAGGCTTACACTGAGAGCAGGGAGGGCCCGCGCAGAAGGGTAGTGCACTTGAGACAGACCCGGTTCCCTTGCCACCTAGGCAGTGGTCGGCAAACTGCGGCTCGAGAGCCACATGCGGCTCTTTGGCCCCTTGAGTGTGGCTCTTCCACAAAATAC